GGAAATGGTATGAAACAATTGGAAGAGCGGCATGTGCCCACTAAAGTCTTAAAAATGGAATGGTCAAACAAAATGGATCTGTTAGCTATAGCCAAGGAACACGGTAAACAAAAATGCACAATAATAATTTGGTGGTTAGGTAAATATCTAATTTTTATTTGATTGGTTAGTTGTATATGTATTATTTCAGGCGAAGTATCTTTACATCGTCTTACATGGCAACGAGTTTGGTCCTTAGCTGCTCCAAAAGATAAAACATTGGTGACTGCATTGGCTTGGAGACCCGATGGAAAACAACTGGCTGTAGCGTATGATTCATGTGAGTTGTATTATAATTTAGATGCTCTATGATTGCACAAAACAGACTAGTTTATATGTGTTTATTTTAGGTGATTTATTATTGGTGGACGTTGAAAATAAAGACATCGCTTTCAGCAAAACTACTGAGAGTAAAGTTACTTCTTTAGTGTGGGTACAGCAAGAAAAACCTCAGAAAAAAGACACAATAGATTCTGTACTGATAAAGGTTTTTAGAATTTGGTTATTTAATTAKTATCAGGGTTTGAAAAATTATACATTTGAGGGGAAATGTTTATTATTTAATATTTATACATTTGATTCAAAACATAAAAGCTATTTTCTACATATTATAATAAAATAAAATCTTGGCTTTAGCTCCTTACACATGATACCAATGATGATACCTATAGATAAATTGTATGTCTAGTTGTATTGATATTGCATAATAGTATAGGTATTAATAAGYATTAAGTAAGTACATAATTTCACCGAAAATTGAATCTCTCCAACTCTAAAGTAGAAATGTATTTAATGATACCTACATTTATTAAAAAATTCCAATAACAAAAAAATCTCCCAAAACATGTTTTATATTTTAAATAAAATTAATTTTGTTTTATTTCAATTTTCATACAATATTTGTTCTAACAAAAAATAAATAAATACATAAMATTGATCCTGRTTTATTATCAGGTTGTATTAATTTTTGTATGTATATTAATTCATATGTAATTTGATTTAGATGAATGGTCTYGATTATCTCCCAAAACTCCAAAGCTTGGTTCTTCGTGATGCCCCTGAAGAGGAGAATAAGATACCAAAAGTCCAAGACACATTGAATTTATTGTTAGTTGGCATGGAAAATAGCGAAGTACAAATATTAGCATTGGGTATATTTTTGTGCGGATCCATTAAATTGGCKGAGGTGTTTAAAAAAGAATGCACAGTATTAAACATACACATGCCAGTAGATTTTAGTTACTTATATGTAGCTATTCAGTATTACTATGGTAGTATAGAAATAGTGACGATTAAACTACAAGAGTGTGACACATGCTGGGATGATGTTTATGATTTGGCGTTTAAACACGATCAGTTGCTGTCATCGTTAGATTATTTAGATCAAACGATGAAAAACATACTTGAAACGTGGGAGCATGTATCGTTGATGGAAATGGAACTGAAACTGAGCTCTTATTGTCCAGAAGACCCAGAAATGGTATCTACTGATCTATTGGAAYTGCTAATTTATGGTATATTAACAGAACGCATGGACCAATTCCTAAAAAGAGATTTAACTGATAAGGGCATCAAGAAAATCGGTCTGTCGATCGAGTCGAGTCACACCAACGTTCAGAAACTAGTGGTGAAACAGCTGTCGGAAGTGACCAACCAGATTCTGTTCCAGCTAGTGGAGATATCCGGGATGTCGCTGAAAAAGTACGAATGTCTGGGACTGACAGAGCACAGTGTGAAGAAAGCTTTACGGTCTGTCAATGGGTTCTTGATGAAGTGCAACGAGGTGCAAATCGTCATTGAAGAGTCGCTGACTCGGTACAAACTGTTCTTCAAGTGGCTTTACGGCATGATGATCAAACTGAACGACGAGAACTCGGTGCACGACCCGTCGCTGTCGGACACGTCGCAACAGGAACTCAACATGCTGGCCGAGTACATCAACGGGCTAGGAGAGACCGGGGCCAAGGCCAAAGACTATAAACTGGACCGGGTGGGCCAGTACTTCCTGGACGGTGACTTGGAGTGCCCGTACGACACGCGCAGCCAATGGTGGTCACTGCTCCAGGACAACCCGTGCCTGGAGGAGAACGAACTGATCGTGACAGCATCCCGGAGCCATTCACTGACCCAACAGTTCGCCGAGCTCAAAGCGGACCTAATGGACATATTCGCGCAGCGCAAGACGTTCTTCGACAAAACTTTCGTTATGTACGACAACGTGCCGCTGGAAGCAACGTCAGGGCTGTCACATGGCTCCACTCGGGTGGACATGGTGGACCTGCCCAATCACAAGCTGCTTGTGTGTTGTGTTAGAGATCTAGGAGCCCACGACTTTGGGTTCTACGAGCTGATGGCGTACGGYGACACGCAAGAGGTGACGCAACGCAGCACCACCGTGTTCTACTCGTGCGACGGTACCAAGCAGAACTTGCACGATGTGCAGTTTTATTCACCCGACTACCTGTCTGTGCTGACGGAGACGGTCGACCGGGCGTCCAACCGATTCTCGCTGTTCGTGCAGCTGTCCACCAGCTGCGTGCGCAGCCACTGTTCGACGGACGGACTGTCCACGTGCCGGATAGGCCAGCCAAATGCCGTCAGCAGCAGCAACAGTAGCGAAAGCTGTCACACGCTGACCGATTACACGTGCCGAATGGTAGAAAACATGGCTGCTTCCAGTTTCGCGGTCAGTGGCGTCCGGAAAGTGGCAGTGCTGTTGTCACACAGTCGGCACAAGGTCCGACTGTTTGAGATGGAAGTGGACGACGAAGAGGACGAGGATGACGACAGTGCGATGGACATCACAAGGGATTCCAATTTGGCAGACGAGACTGCATGACGCCCTCTCCCAACCCTTTATTATCTAATAAAACACTCACCGACAAACTCGAATTACTCTTGCTCAAGACGCTCAAGCACTATGTTTTCGTCGTTGTTGTTACTCGTTGTGATGATATYAAGTCGTATAATAGTAATRATTATTATTTTACTATCGTTAATAATGATGATGATGTTTATATCGTTACCAGAGTTTGACGTASTCGTATAATATATTTAATGTACCTATACTCACATTATGCTGGCGAGATGTGCACGTCAGAATTACGTATACAATATAATATTATATTTTGTATATTTTTAGACCACAATAATATTAAATTATAATCGATTCGATTTTTCGTCCTACAAGAATCTAATAATATTGTATATTATTGTATATGTATCCCGTTCTCACCAGACTGTGATATATACTTCACTCTTAAAGATACAATTTTTTTAATATTTTTGTTTTATTTGTTTATGAACAACATACATTTCTTATACAGTTAGATTTTTCTTATTTTTATTTTTTGATATATTTATATACATTCACTATATAAAGACGGAGAAAAATGAAGAAAAAACAAACGGAATAGTCATTTTCCGATAAGGAACTGCCTTTTTATACCGATGAACYGTGTTATTGCATCCACTGTTACGCTTTCGTCTCTCCGTTGTTTTTTACTTGAGATGCTTCTTTTTCCAGCGTTGGGTTGTCTATGCCGTGTTGAAACATATTGTCTTTCATTATGTTAGTTTTTCTGTACATCTGTCTGTCCAACGACAMGTCTTCGTCCGAATAATCTTCTGAAATCATTCGCCACACGTTTTACGTAATATTATGTTTATCTTAGCATCATAGTCAGACTAGTGGATAAAAAAAATACAATGCATTAATTCAAAAAGTCAACAAGCTTACCTCTGAAGTGTAACGTTCTGTTACTATTCTTATAYGCCGTTAGGTAAAACAAATACAGCAACAGTAACAGCAACACCAACACGCTCAAGACAGCGGCCAATCGTATGCTGTTGACCTAAAGATCGGTTGTACAAATCGTTATTATAATTAATATTGGATGTTTCATGTTTKTTTTTCAAGTAGGTTAGGTTTGCGTAAATTTTCGAATTTTACAAAAACTKCGTATAGAATTAAAAATATGAAAAAACAAAACAAAATTAATATTTAGGAGTGTATTGTAATGATTGGATACAAATGGSCACAATTTTTTTATATAAAGAATAATCTAATTAAAAACTCATACCAGCTGATAACCAAAATATTTTTAACTTATTTGAGACTGTAGTCTGTACACATTTCGCAAAATTGAAATTTTCTCTTTTAGATTCTGAGCGGAGTGATGAATGTATTGATTTTACCATGATGTGTGTTTTTATTTTGTTTTTTGTGTCTGTCATCATTACATTTTGGGGCAGTAAAAGTGCTTCAATTTTTGACTTCAAAACCTTATTCGATCATAAAGTGAATCTAGTTAGTACTTTGGGGATCACTTGCTACTGGGGTCAAAATGAAAAAAATTCTTAATATTTTACTAAATAATCGGGATAAACAAACTAAAAATTAAGGGAAAACGGGACATTTTACTCGCAATCAATTTTCGACAAAATCAATTTTGGTTTTTGATGTTACTTTAAAACAAATGACCATAGATACATAACATTTATTCAAAACTAAYCTAATCAAAATTGATTTTGTTTAAAATTGATTGCGCGTAAAATTTTCCGTTTTCCCTTAATTTTTAGTTTGTTTATCTCGATTATTTAGAAAAATATTAAGAATTTTATATAAACTGTATATTACACTAACATAAACATTTGGTGAAAATTTCAAGTATTTACAGTGATTAGTTTTTGTATTACAACCATATAAAAAAATCGATTTGATCGAAAACTGGTTTTGCGTAAAAATTCCCGTTTTTCTATCATTTTGTTGTTGTTTTTCTCGATTTTTTTGAAAACTGTTGGAAAATTTTTACTTTTGACCTCTATAATGCACCAAGGATATTCACTTTTACATCGGAAATCACCCCCAAAGTTTGAAATTGATGCAATATTTCGACTAGTTAGGCTGTACAGTCATAAAAAAAAAAAAAAGAAACACACATCATTGTAAAATCAATACACTTCGTTCAGAATCTAACTAATACGTAAAAATCACGAAAATTCACAAATTAATTTAAGCTAGAAATTCATAAAAAATGTTCTTTTTATATCTAAGATTTGAAAATTTAATACAAGATT